AATTGAATAATTCCCCTGCTCAGTTACATTTTAAATTCTGAATATTCTACACTTCAGGTCTTTAATATATTATTTAGTTCTAAAACATATCCCCAATAACCTAAATTATTCACAAAGAATATGGTTATATTTATAGATCCTTTGCGGAGTGTAGCAGAGTGCTGGACCTTCTCTTACGACGATACGAAGCCCTGGCTGCGGAGGAGGTCCACCCGACTGCAGTAGACACGTCGCTGCAACATCGAAAGTGAGTAAACTTATATTCTAATGAATTAGTCTGTCTTTCCTGCTTTGAACGCCTGATTGATTAGATGATCGGTAACGCAAATCCCGAGCAATTGATTGAACAGCACGGACACAATTCGAGTTCGAACTGTGGCCGGTGTCTGCAAATAGGCTCAAATCCCTTAAACCGCATAAAGGGATTTGAACCTTACTTAAAATATATACCAATAATTCATTAGCCTTTTGAGGAACGTGACCGTCGAGGTATAAATTAATACGAAACGTCTTATGAAACTGGCAATAGTTTCGTAACAAAGCTACAAATAGATTTAGATGTCTAATAAATAAAATTATTACTTGTCATAATTACACATCGTTAAGTCATTACATGCCATCGTAAATGTTCCAGGACTCTGGTAGCGTGTCTGCACGTGTGGCTGGACACGTACCCGGAAGACTTTCGTCAGCCTCCTCACCACCCCGCACTGCAACAGCTACTCGCCTTCACTCAGGTTCATTTGCCAGGAACGGAACTACATTCGAAGGTATGCTTAACGTTTAACGCTTTAGATACATATTATTGTGTAGCACCATTAGTGTAAAATAATGTAACGTTCTGTGTATATTTGCAGGTATTGCAGAAGTTAGCTGTATTCAGTGCAGAGCGCAATGGTGGATGCGGAGTGGGCGGCGCCATGTGCCTCGCGGCCGGCATGCGCGTGCCGGCGCACCACACCAGCGCATACCGGTTACCGCACGTACCGCACCGACACTTCGCTGAGCAGCTCACCCGCATGGACATGGAACTCTTTAAGAAGCTCGTCCCGCACCAGTGCCTTGGCGCCGTCTGGTCTCGCAGAGACAAAGACCGCAATCACGACGCGGCTACCGTTTTGGCAACTGTAAACCAGTTTAATGCTGTATCGTTTAGAGTGATATCTACGGTTTTGGTTGAACCTAATCTGAGGCCGCTTGAACGTGCTGAAATTTTAGCAGCATGGCTCGATATTGCTAGAGAATTGAGGGTGCTCAAAAACTTTTCTTCATTGAAAGCGATTATCTCTGGGCTCCAGAGTAACCCTGTTTATAGACTAAGAAAAACGTGGGCATTACTAGCTAAAGAAAAAGCTGAATTGTTCGATGAACTTGCGCGCATTTTTAGTGAGGACAATAACCGGTGGGCTCAACGAGAGTTACTCATGCGTGAGGGAACCGCTAAGTTCGCAGATACAGTAGGCGAAAATGATCGCCAACTGCAAAAGCTATTACACGAACGAGGCTCTCCTGGCGTCAGTCATGGAACCATTCCGTACCTTGGTACCTTCCTAACCGATCTCACTATGATCGATACCGCTATTCCAGATACGGTAGCCGATGGTTTAATAAATTTCGACAAGCGAAGGAAAGAATTCGAAGTACTCGCGCAGATCAAGTTACTACAGGGTGCTGCCAACGCCTATCACTTGCCCTCTGACTCGATGTTTGATAGGTGGTTTGACTCGGTAATTGTGCTGGATGACCGAGAATCATATCAACTGTCTTGTCAGATCGAACCGCCTACGAATCCTCCAAAAGAGAGGCGACCAAAGAAAATAAACGAAACAAATAGCCACGGTCACAGAAAGAATGATTCGATTGCTAGCACGAGCTCAAGTAACAGTTCGCAGTTCTATTGTGAGACCGACGGCACTGGTACAGCGTGGAAGAGGGACAGCCTAGAAAGGCGGGTGTCACCGACACGTTTATCGCACGGTTCATCATCGTCGTCACTACCTTCACTAGATGTGTCGCTGTCGAGTGCAAATAGCGGACAAAAGCCCGCTAACGGCAAGGTGGGCGGAGTTAGTCCTGCGGGACCGGGCGTACGCTCAGGCCCAGACTTCTATATCATCCGCGTGACGTACGAGTCGGACTGCGCTGAGACCGAGGGCGTCGTGCTGTACAAGTCAATCATGTTGTGCAACAACGAACGCACGCCACAAGTCATCCGTAACGCGATGCTCAAACTCAACCTCGACGGTGATCCTGATGGATATACCTTAGCGCAGGTTCTCCCCGAAAAAGGTAAGAAGTTTTTCATCCGAACCCTTTTCTATTTTTATTTATTCTCATTTTTTCTATTCAGTCCTAAAACCACTTATGTGTTCTGTGCCTAAAACATTGACTATAATAAATGCATAATAATGCAAAATATTATTACGATGATAGATAATATGATGATATTATCTATCATCATCAGCGCATCAGCTACAACATTTATACTTATTTTTTATCAGAATAATCAACAAATTCTTTTTTGTAAGTGGTCTACTGAAGTCAGAATTTAACAAATTTCGTTACATTGTTACAGAAATGCTGCTGCCTGCGAATGCGAATGTTTACTATGCGGTGAATACCGCATACAATCTAAACTTCATCCTGCGCCCGCGTAAAACGCAGCAGGTGGAGCCAGTGGTCAACGGGAAGTCGCGCGGGAAGCGCCCTTGATCACACACAGTGACCGTTTGGTAGACAGCTATTGAGCTAAAAAGACTCTTACAAATAATCTGAACGACGACAATTTTGTGTTGTGGCAGACTTTGCAACGGGAATGACAGACTTCAAGAATTTCGCATTTATTGTTTCATCTTTTTCCATAAACCTCCGAAAGTAGTTTCACCGAGATAGACCTTGTTGTTTTTAGACGACCAAGTAGAATTTTTGCTAGCTTCGTGTAATATTATCACATATCATAAATTAAAACAAGGTTTAAAAATTCGTATAACATTAATTATTAGTCCAATTTCGAAACAGTGAAAAATGTACTCTTGAATTGTGTGCGCTCTTTCCTAGTTGGCCCTATAATAAACAGACCTTTCTAGACATCAATGCAAGGACATTGCACATAGCTTTGCAAGTGGAAGTTCCTTAAGTTCTGCAACCGTGTAACATTGCCGAGACTGGACTCATTACTTACCACTGTGTTCCCATGTATTCCTAGCGTGCATTTCGCAGTGTCTACAATGTATTATTTGTACTGTACTCATGTAAATAACTTAATATAATGCCACCTCTAGCGTAGTATGTTTATGTATATGTGAATTATCGTTTGTATATAATGGTTTGTAAATAAGAATCTCATGAAATAATATTGTAGAATAATACTGAGCCAAAGGCAATATACGTCTAATAGCAAGGTGCTGTACCAATTTTGTATAACGTTTTAGAAGCTTTAATAGGAACATGTTTTATAAATTGAATTTCGTATTGTATTTCTAATTGATAGAGTTTATATGTTTCCAAGTAAAGAAGGGTATAAAGCGGGAACAAGGTGACTCAAATGATGATCACGAACGGCAGTCGTTTTAAGTCATGTTTTTGATAAATATACATTTAAATGAAGATGGATAGGAAAATTTTGTTTTGGACTGGAAACGATCTAAATATAACTGTGTTTATTTTATTCCTTGACTTCTACCTGGTACGTTTGACCTGAAAGAGACGTATATGTACTTAAATGTTTACTCATAAAACAAATGTTTCAAAATAAAGTGGTCTTGTAGTTACACTAGAAGTAAATGTCGCTTTAGATATGTGTTCATTGTTGTGAATGGTCTCAGATCGAAGGCCATCTTATGAAGCCCATTTTTGCACACAAGTAAGTTAATGTGTAGATCGTAAGCTCTACGTACTTACAGCCATACATTAAATGTACTGATATATGAAATTAAATTTTAATTAAAGACAATATTATATTATGTATCTGTGTATTACTTCACCGTGGTATTTTTATTTAATACCTATGTACTGTACTAATTCTTTTGACGTGCCCATACGCATACAATAAATAAGATTCACGGTGTGCCTAAAATAAATTATTATTTAAATTGTATCATTGTAACGTATGTAACTTGTATTATGTTATCCTGCATAATATAACTGTATCTATATACCTACTCTATTGAATTAAGCTCAGAATGACATTCGTTTAACTATTGTTCTGTAAATATCTGTATCATCTAACTGAAGTGTAATTTTTGTAGTTTTCCACCAGTGTCGCTGTAACATGTTTATATTCGTATAATAAAAGTTAACGAAACCTTTTGTGGGGACTTTTAATTTGGACAAACAGAGACCCTAATTAAAATATCGACTGAAATTTAACCCTAATTAAGTTTTATTTTTACTTGTGCACTGTGATATCAGTGTAACTGTCACGACGCGACGGGTTACTAGTGGCGCCACCTATGAGCGTAGCTACAAATTTCGAATCACATTACTAGATGAGAAAGGATTAGGTTTCACTTAACTTAAATGTTTCTGTACTTTGAGATTAGATGGTGTTCCCTCAGATACCGACCTCACGATGTCGGGAGCCCGCCACTTTGAACTTACAGGCAGACTTCATGTTGTAAATAACTATTATCATAACAAAAACTATTTTTATTTACAACATTAATTATCGTTTTAATTAACTGTAATTTATTAGGGATTGATAAACTTATTTTCCTGACATTAATAAATTATATCAAGAATAATAAATTAAAAAAAATAGTACTGGGCATCGATAGGAAAACCAAGTTATAGAGGTTATTCAGAAAGTTACAGCGTTGGTTTTGAGAAAGGAACTCAGGAGTATTCGAGAGCACTAAACCTAGACGTACGGAGCACGAGGTTCTGGTGGTGGTGGCGCACCTGCGTGCCGCCACCGGTTGACAGCAGCTCGGCTGAAATTTTCATGGCCAGCGTATCGAGCGACACACGCGCGCTGGGGCCGCGCAGTCGCGCCGCGCCGCCCGCCCGAGCGCCTCGCACGCTCGCCTCCACGCCGACACTCGGTCCGTGACAACCTTGCCGTGCCGACCCCGGCTCACAACAATAACACGCGCGACCTCTATCACTACCGACTCCACACGGAGCGCCGGGTTCTCCAGTGCCGGTGCAGTGCAGTGGTCGTGCCACGTGACCAGCTCCCGGGCCCTAAGGCCGACATGTGAAAAACAAAGCCTTTGTGACAGCGCCGGCCAGCGGCATGTGGCGTGCCAGAGTTACGCACAAAATGAAATAATAAGGTAAGGGAACCACTGTTATTCTGACTGATACCCTCTTCGGTAACTTATTTATTATTTTTATGACTAAACATTAAGTTTTGTTTTATACGTAAAATGTATTTTTAAACTTAATTCAACTTGACGTAACTTGTTAAACGCGAATGTAGTCTTTAGGTCACAGACGTACTTTAACCTGCGTGAATACTATGTTGCATGATCAAGGTCAGAGTTCACTTAAGTGAAATATATTCGTGCGGATTATTGGCATCAGATATACCTGAAAGCTGATATAGTTTAGCTAGTTGTGGTGGGAGCGGCCGAAGTCCGTCCGTAGCGAAGCTCTACGACTGCCGCAATCTGATTATGGCACACCCACTAAGCTACAAGATATTTATTCAGTGGTATTTTTAGTAATATAACCTAGATATGAAATATTGACATAACTATATCATACGATTTATGATTTAAATAGACTATTTTGACAAACATATGTTTCGTAGCACTCTCGTAGCAGCGTAGCAACTCGTAGCAGCCTTTTGTTTATTCTAATTGGTTTAATTAATGTGGGGTGATTTATTACACCGAGTCAAATTAGTGGGTTACCTCAATTCCGGTGAAACACAAAGTTATTATTTTATATACTTTCATACTTTTTACATTATTTACGGGGGAAGTTTTGTATTGTTTAGGTTAGGTTACATTACATTGTTGGAATAGAGTAACTAACACATTTGCATCAGATATGCAGCTGTAAACATAATTTAGCATAAATCATAAATATTAGTTTTTAACAAGCTTATTATTTTATCAGTATTAGATATCATTTGGCGTGCCGCAGGGTCGCGTGTCGGGGGCGCGGCGTGCACGCAACTCGCACAGAACGATGCAATAACTCAGTCCCCTCACATTTCTTCCCATCGATCCTGGTAATCAGGGTTTGGACATACAATTGGGCTAATTAGCCTAATTAGTTGATTAATTAGCAGCGACGTTTCTCGAAGAATAAGACTGATAGGTACTTACGTTATGGCGAGAATGGTGACGAATGAACTACGAGTACGTTGTAAGTTGATAGTGTATGATAAATTAGCCGTTTCACACAAGCCTCCGGAGTTTCAATGAATATTGGGTCAGAAATTCGTTCATATCAAAATATATTTATATGTTATGGTAAATGGTCAAATTATGAACATAATCGTGAATTTAACTTCCGTGGTTATTTTACTTTCCGGACTGTTCAGATAAGCCCAATTTCACTATGGTACATACGTTACCTCTAAAAGATTTTGATCGCAAACTTTACCTATGTTCGCCAATATTTAATGCAATGCGTATTATTTGGTAACTAGTACATTATAGTCAATATACGGATGTTGTTTTACTGTACAATTTATGGAAACCACTTTATAAACAAACACGGTTTGATTAAAATAACCATTAACCACAGATCCTGCATCTAATCACCATTACGAAAGTCTAAGCAGCAAGTTATCAGCTAATTGTACAATTATCTCTTGGAGCAGTCCGTAATTATGCTATTTCGAGCCTCGAGCACCTACAGATGCGCTATTTGCTCGCGAATCCAACTTTATGCGGACCAAGTAAGTAGATTAACAGAATCTTTGAAACTTGTATAATTTAGTTGAGAGTTGCTGCTCTGTATGAATTATAATATTCCTGCAGTTATGGCAATTTGGGTTCAAAGAAAAAATGTCGAAAGATTAGCTTCCTGTTGCAAGATAGCCAGCTCATAATACTTGAAAGATTCCCTTATATCTTTCCAATTCCTTCCAATAAGACAGTTTTCCACTCAAGGTTTTCGAATATTGAGATGAGATTCAAACCAACTTTTGTACGATTGTCAGTCATCCAATAGTAGTCAGACTGACATTCTACGCGCCTCGGGTTAACACAGTCAAAATCGATTGTAGTAAGAAGATATTACCTAGTAACTACCAGAGCACCTAGGAACCGGGTCACACTCCTTATTGGCATAGAAACAGCCTGAAAATGAGATTACGAGACCAGGAATTTTGCAATAGCACCCTCGGTAATAATAGAACCAACGTTCATTGCTTATGGCCGTGCATACACCTGAAATGCACTCCAAGACAATTTCAACGAGTTTCACCGAAAGGTTGGGTATGTACTCTGTAATTTCCTTATATTTACTGAATATTGTAGAAGTTCGGAATAGTCAGAGAGATAGTCGAAGAAATTGTATGTTAAATTATCTTTTCTACTCTGGAACCTGGAATTTTCTTGTAGGGTATTAAATGCTTACTACCTTATTGAATACTCTTGATTTAGTTTCTGAGAGAAAAGTACGAGTTGGAGAAAATGTTATATAGATTTTCGATTTCAGAGTAGCTTCTAAGAAGTATTAGAAAACTATATCGGTAAAATATTTTACACAAGTGTAATAAAATGTAAGAGGTCTAATAAAAGGAGGAATGATGCTACATTATGTATTGTTTTACCTACGTATACAGAAATAAGCAGATTAAAATATAAACATTTAATACTTTAGTGGGACATAAAATGAAAAATGACGACGGTAAAAGTGGAATAAAATAACAAGTTCTGCAAATGGCTCTGTGTTGTAAATTATGCAAGAATTCTTAACTTACAATTTTGTAGTGTCATATTTATTTTAGTTGAGAGTGCTTTCAAAGGCATGCAAGGCTTGCACGATTATTCCGCCATCTTGAATTTTTGTGAAGCAAACTTTGTGTTTGTTTATTTCATTTAGCGGTTACGTGAAGTATTTATGTGATATATTTTAATGTGTTGCTTTGGTAATTCGTTGACTTTATTTTTCGTTTATTATTTGGTCGCCATTGGAAATACTGAACAAGAGGTTTCAATTTCGATTTCCAGTTCTTCTAAGGCTATATGGTGAAATCTAGACGTAGTCAAACAACAACAAAACGTGATGCATTTGACAACCTATCATGATAATTTCTTTCTTTCTTTCTTTCTTTCTTTCTTTCATAATGCATCTTTTTAATCTTGTCATAAATTAGTTCCATTTACTGAAGTAACCGGATTGAAAGGTCTTATAGCAGTATCTAAAATCAAACCGCCTTGATTCCGACTTATATTTCCCTAACCTTTCGGGTTTCCTATACATTCTATACTGTTGAAATTATTGAAGCGAACTTTCAAGAGAGTGACTTAGCTACGTGAGATGCGGGTTCATTGAAATGTAGGTTCGGGCATAAGTTCTCGTTAACGATAAGTACTGGACCCACAGACACTTTGCCACAGCCCTCAGTTCAAGAGTCAAGTGGTCGAACCCTACACGATTTTACTTACGTGGACAAATAAATACGAGAAAAATCTTTATTATTTGAAACGGTTTCAACGGCTTTCAGTGCTATAACTTCACATAAATCCCGATTCTAATGTTCCACGTACATAAATGTCAGGGGTATTAGGGGCAAGCCTATTGCCGCAAACCGGGCACTGTTCTAGATTCCGCGCTACAAAGTAAAATGAAACAACCCATTAAAGCATTCCTCCACACAGAAATCGAACTTACAACTTTATGGGCAGTCAGGGTTGAAATCTGTAGTCCTAGTATTCTGACAGGTAGTACAATAATTTATCGGTATAAAAAGAACATAAAAGTTTTATAGGTACCTAACCGTGGACTACAGGAGATCGCTGAAGCAAGGAGACAGTAAATAATCGCGCGGATTTATTTAATTTCATCATCGTAGCTCCATGACCCACATTAATTAAACTGAATATAAATTATCCCCTGTTTTGACTCTCGGTTACGTGAGTTAAACCCGGGACCAGGGCTTTACATGACAATTAAGTATTATTTATAGAACACTTGCATTATATACCTATAAGGATCACAACCACTTTCACCTAACCCTTGGTATTGGTAGGTAATCTTTTAGGGAATTAACAATAATTTAAGAAATAAATGATCTAGTAGATAGTACCTATGAGGAAAATACTGTTGAAAAATAGTGGAACGATGGTTTAGTATTCTACAACTTTGGTCTAGTGATTGTGATCCCAAGAAAGGTTTTATAAACTTACACTCGACAAAATTGTCAGTTGTAGTTCAGAGTCAATGTACTCAATATAAGTATATAGCTACTAATAAATGTCAAGACTAATTAACTCAGGAAATATTATAAAATTAGGTTGAGGGGATTAATTAAACACGATGCCTATCATGTTACAGTAGAGTAGTTTTTAGTAATCTTGTTACGTTACTTATTTATAGAAACCAAGTACCTAAATGAATAGAAGTTAATCGTTTTTTAAATGGCTGTATGTAAATGGCGACATATGGCTAAAATCGCCATATCTGTGTATCTAAAATGATTTATACGAAAATTTCAGAAATAATGTCTCTGTTATTCCATGACTAAGATGACACAAGTAACTTTTGCCAAAAATGCTATCTAGACCCTCTACTTGTCGCGGAGAACCTAACGTGTAACCGGGGCTCCGGCTCGACGTGCAGGAGAAGGAACGGGGTGGTTTTTAGTCAGTAAGAGTCTGACACTCCCTCCCGCCTCACCCAGGCGGGAGCAGTCATTCGATGATTTTCCCCCCTTAAAAAAAAAAAAAAAGACTTACTACTTATAGTTTACATTTTCTAATAAAAGCGACCTGTTTCGCGACAGAAAATTTTACTCACATCTAAAAAATAACTCGAAAAAGGACTCCTTTGCTCCTTTGTTAAGAAGTGAGCCAGAAATAATTTCTTCTTATTTCATTCACTGAGTTTTTTTTTCAAGAAAAGAAAATGGTCCCCGCGGGTGTCGTAAAAGGTGACAAAAGGATTATGTCGAGACTATGGGCAGCAGCTTTTCCTTGTACACTAATAACGGTATATTGCGCCCATAGCGTTTATTTAGCAGCCTAGTGCCAGGTTATGAAGAAAATCCCTGTGACGACCGTTAATACTTACGAGCTTTGATTATCACGAACCTTAGATATACCTAATTATTATTATTACGTAAAATGAGGCGTTTGTGTTTTTACTTCGT